TATATATATATATATATATATATATATATATATATATATATATATAGAAGAGAGAGAGAGAGAGAGAGAGATCTTTTCACACGTTCTTACCAAAAGCCTAAATTCTCATTCAATATTAAGCTTAACATATAGGAACGACACTATTAATAACGAAAGTACGTCATACAAGTACTTTTTTATAAAAAAAAGTCAATGAGTAAAATGGTTATCAAAAATATCTATCGCTATTACCTGCCGCCAGAATGATGGTACTAATATCGTAATATCATAATTTGCATCAACAATTTCAGTTAATAATCTCTTGGTTAGTAATTGCTGTATGTACAATTGCGTTACATAATGTTTTATTATATAATTATTATTAATGTAACGGGGATGTTTACGCGCGAAGTAGTTCTCTTAGAAACGGACTACTCCTTAAGATCTTGCGCGAAACCCTTAACACCTAAATGGAATGACGCTGAACAATTTGTTATAAAAATAGGCTGGTCAGATCAGTGAACAATTTGCGAACGTGCATAGTGGTTTATCTTGAGAGTATAAACCGTCTTTAGTGCCTACATGCATCATATCGTGTGCAATTGGTGTGTTTTGCTCGCACATACGAGATCTAATCCAAATATATCGGACTTAGGAAAGAAAAGAAATTAGTTCATCCTCTGAGTTGGATTGCTCTTGACATCGAAAGGATCGCCGGAATATACGTGTAGAATTGGAAGGAGTCTACTTTTTTAAGGAAATCAGGGTGCCAACTCAAACAGATGATCTAGTTTTCTTGATTTCCAACCATGAATCAAATACTTTGGGGGATCAGAAAGAACTCGTACATACACACATTTTATAAATATATACATTGTCTTTAAGAATTCGTTCAGTCTGCAGTTAATAAGCGTAATGGATATTTGTACTACTGCCCGTGACACGAGAGTATAACAATAAGTGTGAGTCGATTGTTGTTGCATGAACGGGGCACCGAGACCGCGTGAGAAAAGGCATATTGTTATATACAGCGTTGCTCTCATTCTTTTCTTAATATGCTGCTGCGTGTTCATTGCAAAGGATGCGAGCGCTTTACAGTGAGGCAGAAAAAGAGAAAAGCTCTAAGAGGAGACTCGAGTGTTCTTTGGTGTATGCAGAATGAGAGCGAGAAAAAAAAAATAAAAATCGAGGGACAGAATAGAGGACATACCAGTACCTGACATGGAGTCTGGCGAGCGGCCACGCAACGCACCCGCGTAGCTATTTATGCAGGCTTCGGTGGATATTAAAAAGAAAAAAATTACATCAAGTAAGGTCAACTCTATCGGGGCCCCCCTCCCCTGAGCCCCAGAAGAAATTGCCTGGCTATATCAATTGTAAGGGGGCTGGAAGCGAGAAAAAGAAGACACGAAGCAAATTCTAAAAGTAAGGCCGTCCGAGACGCGCGCGCGCGCATACGCACAACATATACACACACACACGCGTGGTATGTAGCAATTGATACAAGCGTTTTAACTTTAAGGGATACTATGGTAGGCAGGATCTCAGTCTATTTATAATGATATACGACTAGCGATTTTAAGAGAGAGTGCACTCGCAAGTGCGATACGCAAACCATCGACAAATATTATCCATCGCGGAATCGATGGAGACAACTTTTGTCGCGATATCTCATTGTTATCTTGCTCTTATTACTACCAATTCTCTATAAGAAGGACGCTAGGAATTCTCAATGAATCTTTTATCGAACCGGTGTTAACAAAAATACAAAAAAACGGAGCAATTAACGACTGAGGAGTCTAAGTTTTTCATTTTATACAATTTGTAATCTTTCTGATGTTACGTGTATACATAATCGACACGTTTATCCGTTGTCTAAATTTCGACATCGACTGCATCGTTTCACCAAAAACGCCAATACCAACTGTGTGTGTGTGATTCGCCTTAAACAGAGAAGATAATCTATTCTGTTAGTGCTCGAGTAATTGTGAAACTCATCACGAATATCGCAAGACCGCAATTTTAGATAAAATAGACAAAAGAAACTCTATACACACTCAAGCATTCTGTACCGGATACAACAGAGAAAGACAGACAGACAGAGAAAGAGAGAGAAGTTTTGCATTAGTATATGTATGCTAAATTAACTGTCGATAATGTATCTTTATCGTCAACTCGCTTCAACTATTTAATATGCTCTAAAAAAGTATCGCATCATACCTGTATTTTGTACTGTTTGTGCAGATGCTCCGGAACCAGAACCACCACAATCCGTCTCGTCTTGCTTATCATCTAATCTGTAAAACAATGAGCAGCACGTTACATCGCTTCTCGATCTCTCAGTCACAACATTGATTCTTATTAAAATGTAAAAACGAAAAAAAAAGGATTATTCATTTTGCCGTTACTTCGATATAAACTCGCGGTTTAATCCACGAGCGTGAAAGTTGACGATCAGCTATTGTAGCGGAACTTTGCGAAGCGTAAAATAACCATTATGTAACAGGAGAATGAGGTAATGTATTATACTAATTTTTACGTAAGACTGAAACGAATACGTTAGTATTACATGTGGTTCGGAGGTGCTGAAAAAAGTTCTTTCAGCTTCACCGGATGATGATTAGTGCATTTGATTAGGATTGATTAGGACTGATTACATAAATCCAGATAAAAACGCATAAAATGGGCCAAAAAATATGAGTGAATCCTGATAAACATTATCTGAACGTTTTCTGCAATTGCAGAGACCGATCTCATCGGAAGTATAACAGATATTACGAACCTATGTTGTTTTAGAAGTGTGCAACCTCCAGTTTCCGTCAAGTCCAAGTTGTAGACATACAAGTAACCGTCAGCACTAGCTACCAACAGTTTGGGTATTTTGTGTGTTCTAAAAGTGAAAACGTTGTATGAAGGATGCGTGCAAATAAAATATTAAACGTCTTGTACGTCTATAATAATCGCGCAGATTAATAATAAACAATCTTTCGATACTCACACAGTGATGGCACAGACATTTTTCAACCCTTGAAACGGTAGGTGGACGCTCGCGAAAGCACGTCCTTGAGTAAAAACATCAGTCACTTGCGACGGCAAGTAGTTAGCCGACGCTGTCACAGCCTTCGTCAAATAGCCCATCCAGCTTTGTGCTTCGTCCGTCGTCTGTCCTGGCCTAGCGTAGTACACGTCATATCTCAACGTTATGAGAAATATATATCAAAGTAACAATCTTATGACTATAATACATACGTTTCCTTTGGTTCCTCCAGTTTGAATATATGCACGGTTTCCGTATTGCTAGAACAACAAAGCCACATAGAGTCGCTACTAAAAGAGAGACTGCTTATCGTGACGCATCTCTTGACTCCGCGTCGAAATTCGAATAATTTTGTACCCTCATGAACCTGGTGGGAAGAACAAAATGATCTTTAGCAATTGTATTGTATAATTAAAAGACATGTAGTTACCATAATTATATATCTACATTATATATCTACAATTATTTATCTTACGTCAAACACTCTAATCACAGTGCCTTTTTCAGAGGCCGTCGCAACTTTCGTGCCGGTAGAGCTGAAAGCAAGCGCTGCTAATGGACTATCATGTGCCGGTATCATTGTCTTGGCTTGCTAAATATGTAAGAAAAGCATTATCGAATGTCGACTTTCGATACATCAGAATCTTAATTAATTGATTTGCATTTGATAGAAGTACGTACGAGATGGATCGCGTCGAATATCTGGACTTCCCCGATGGTACTCGAACCAGGATAAGCTAAATAACAATTGTCACTACATATCGAAAGTGTACAAAGGCCTGAAAGGTTAGGTGGAGTGTCACGAATTGTATGCAGCACTCTCATATCCCGTATATTGTGAATGTATAACGATTCTTCCAGACATACCACTAATCTCTGAAACAGGCAATATTATTTTTGTTACATTCTTAATTGCTAACAAAAAAAGGCTGAACAAGCAATATTGAAGCTTATCTGTCCTATATTGTATGTAGAAATATAAGAATTTCTAAAAGTTATATAATTTACAACTTTTGATCAGCTTATTCATGTACAGATATCAATCAACATACCGCTCTGTTGAGTTTCACAGCCAAAATAGTATTTGAATAACTGTAGTTGCATATTTCTGTGCCTTTCCTAAAGTGGCACACTGTAAGTGTACGAGGGGATGAAAGACTAACAACTGCCACCAAACTGCTGCTGAATAATCGCTCAACAATGCAAATATCCTCAGTACCTGCATGACAACAGAAAGAAAAGGGATTTACAGATTGATGTGATATTTTTTTTTTTTTTTGAAAATTTTAAAACATATATGTAGTGTGCACTTCTGCTTTACTACTCAATGAGATAAGCAATTTAATCTTGATCTCTACTGTTACTATCTACTAATGCACAAGTTACTTGTAATTTTCCAGAATTATGTATTAGTACAAGAATAAAAAAGAAGGTATCACACACATTACCATTTTCATATATCTTCTCAAGGTGACCCGCGGAGCTAATAGAAAAAAGTTTGTATCCTGATTTTGATCCCACTGCCAAGGATCTGAAAGTTAATTTAACGCCTCGTTAGAAAAATGTAAATTAAGGAAATCGACAGTAATGTCGATTTCCTTCTTCTTCTGAAACATCTGGTGATACAATTGCTTCGGATGCACAAAGTCAAGCCATTTTCGATATCTTTATGTACACTATCATAAGTGAGAGAATTAAAAAAAATAACGCGCGCGCGATATACAATCGTGACAAGAAGGTACAGGAACGAGGTGAGTCCTTGGATGAAGGAACGCGAGTAGGAAGGCCAGGCGACTGGTTCTTGCAATAGCTCGGTGTGTATGCGAGAAGCGTGATGTTTTTCTTTCGTTCGTCTGTCCACCCGCTCGTCCGTACGCACGCACGCGTAAGAGAGAAAGAGCGAGCGAGCGAGCGGAGAGCTACGGCGAGGTTGACGTTGCGTTAACACGCAATTAATTGGTGAAAGGGGGAACGCGCGTGAATGACGCAGGCATAGGAGCAGCGACGAAAACATTGCGCGACAAGGAACATGGAGATCACAAAGTGCGACTTGGCACGTCATGCGCGCTATTCCCTGGCCGAGCAAGCGACGAAAGCAAGAGATGATAGAGCGGTAGTTTCGACACATGTTTAGGAAATTTCAATCGAACGCTCGAGACGGAAGGGTAAAAAACGACGGACGAGACGAGACGAGGTTAGGCAAACAAAGGAGCAAGGCGAGCAAGAATGAGAATCGCATGCGGGGCGGGAACAACGTCGTCGTCGTCGTGATCGTCGTTGTTATCATCGTCGACGTCGTCGTCGTCATCATCGCCACCGTGGCCATTGTTGTCGTCGTCGTCGAAGAAACAATGCCGATGACGACTGGACAGTCGATATGATAAACTTACGTGCAGTCCTGATTGAAGTTAACGAAGTAGGGACCGCTCTGCGGACTGTCCGACGTCTGATTTGCGAGGTTCATTAGTCCTGATATGCCGTATTTTAGTCCTTGCGTTAATACATCCAGGTTGCGCGCGAGATCTTGCATAAATCGTACGAGTGGCGCGCGTATACGAACGCTCTCCTCCTTCGGCTACTTACACCCGCGACGTTCTTCACTCTTTCTCTCTCTCTCACTCTCTCTCTCTCTCTCTCGCCCTCTTCTTTCCACCTCCCCACCCTCGCACTGTCTATATCTGTCCCTTGCACTCCTTTGTCTGTGTCTATCTGCTTCTCCGTTTATCTGTTCCGTTTGCAAACACTGTCGCGCGCACGATAATACGGACGATACGTTGACTAGCTAACTGGCCGTCTGCGACGGAAGTGCCTGACGTCGCCGCGACTCCTACAAGTGACTGCTCTGCTATCGTTTCATATTGAACAGCTGACATTCGCAGCTGCTGCTCGGAATGGCGGAACGCGAAACATCAGTCCGTTTCCGCCTGATTCTGCGCGTTCCGTTGCTATGGCGACCACGCGCGCTTCCATTTTTCACTCGCGCTCTCTTTGTGCTATTTCTCTCCTTTCCTCCTTCGAAAGTGCAATACACAATGGCCACGTTTGTTGAGTTAAAGCGTCCAAGGAGCAGTTAACGATCGGTGGTAATCCGATGGATACAGAAGCATATAACAATAAAATTCATCGAGTATCAATTGTTTGTTGAATGCTTTGTTTTTAGCTGAAGGTGCTCACATTTCCATATAATTTACTTCTCTTTCTTCCTATCTTTTCTTATCAATGTTGAAAGAAGGTGCAACATATGTTTCTGTTTTTTTCCTTTGGTTCTAACATTTTAAGATGTATGTATACGTATTTATATCTCGTATTTTGCTTTGAATGATGCAATTGAGAGCAATAGACTTCTTACCTGCTTTGACAAGGAGCTTTAATCGCACTTTAAATTCAGTTCAGTATGTTTTTGCTATTAATTAAAATAAAACGTGCAAGCACAGAAGAAGAGGGAGAAAACATAGGGGAACGTAGAAAATATAATTATAATAAACGTGCACATATTTTGAAACGTGAAACATGTAACTAGTGACAGCTGGTGACTAATTTTATCATTCCTAATAAATATATAAAGTTGCATTTTCTCGTCGTTTGGAAGAGAGTGGCGCGGAGTATAGCGATCAGCTGTCATGGCTGTCACAATCTTTGTGAAATAAGGGGAAGCAGTTCCTTTATCCTAAATAATCCGTTCCGATGCGCCGTGTTAGGAGATGATAGATGATCCGTCGATTCTTTAATATTCTACAATTTATCGGAAAAATGTTTCGAATTTTCCAGTGTGACTCCTATTGTCATACCTCCGAAATTTTCCATTTTTAACAATAAATTAATATCAGAATTATTTATGTAGAAAGTTTTTGAAAAAGGTAAGGTAAAAGGATATAATTCATATATTTAAAGCATAAATCTTTCATTCTCTCCTTTTTAGTAAAGTAAAATGTTCAATTTTTTATACATAAACTATGTGTTATGATTGAGTGAAATATATGTATTGTACACTATACTTTGTTAAAAAAAAATAGATTGAGATATAGTTTTAGAAATTAATATATTTTTAATATGTTTAAGGTAAATTTAATGATCCCATGGATGCGTGATCAAATAGCAGAGGCCTGGCATAACAGAAAGAGTTCAAGGACAGCCGACAGGCGGTCCTTGGCCCTTTCTTCTATTGGCACAGGCAATCCTGCAAGCAACAACACCATGCTAATGCCATTACCTACCTCACCTGAAAGCTTTTCTGTCAATGTTATTAGGTATGAGTTGTATCAGTTGATATTGAAGATATCAAGATATACTAGATTTGAGGCTTTCATGGCCATTCTGGAAGCTATATCTAGACATTATATCAAGATATAATTTTATGTTTATTAAATCATATAAAATCTTCCCTATAGCATAGAAGGCAATATACTAGGTGTCACAGTAAAACCAGACTTTACTGTAGAAAACATTAAGAAAATAGCAATGATACATTTCTACGGTGAAGATACCACTAAGCCTATCTCACGCTACCGCTTAGTTCATTCATCCAAGTTCAAACAGCTTGTAGATGAGCATTATGTAGACGATGAGGATATCAGTCAGTCTGGTAATTGTTTTAATTGGGCTATATATTTGCATATCCACAATATAAATATATTTCTGATTTATTTCTGACTTACATATAGTAAGCAAATTATTAATTATTACAGATGAATTATTACTAGTGGAAATTCGACCAACTATCGCGCAAGAAAAGCTTCCGGACGAAGCTCTCAAGGGTCCAAATATAGAAGCAATAACACAAGCTACCTGTAATGTACCTGGTCGAAATGCACCTAAACGTATGCCATCTATAGAATGCCCTGCAGATGTAAGTATCTCTGATATGCCTAAAATATATGTTTACTTGTGTTGCATGTATTTTATCGTTGTAGTTATTTATAGTTTCAGAATGAAATTCGTAAGATCCTGATAACTCTAGTGCAAGCATCCGCGAAAATCCTGATGTACAGTCCAGATGCTGAAAAATTATACGATATCATTAAAGAAAAACTCGAAGCCAGGTGTAAGCCCACCAATGATCCAAAAGTCGTAAAAACTCTTATAGAAATGGGCTATTCACACAAGAAAATTCTCAAAGCGTTGCGTCTCCGAAAGTAACTTTCTACAATGAAACATTTTATATTGTCACAATGTTTGTGGAATAATGTCAACATGTGTGAACAGCAAATTTCTAATTCAGTCGTATTTGTTCCAGATCTAATATGTCGGAAGCTTTGGAATGGCTTATAGAACATCAGGACGATTCGGACGAGGAAGAAGATGAAGATCCGGATTTCTCCTCTATAGATACAACGGTGGATGCTAGTGGTGCAGGGCCTAGTACCTCGATGAACACTAAAAAAAAGTCATTACAGGATGCGTGTCTTGAACTTTTCGAAGCAGGTAATCTTCAGTAAAGCGGAATCATATGTAATTAGGCATTACTAGAAGATAATAAACTCGAAAATAAAGACAGTGAAATACACAACGAATTATTACACACGAAAATATATTTAACTGTAGAAAATGAAGGTGGGACAGAAAAGAACTTAGTGAATATCATAGAATTGCTGCTAGAAAGTTTCCGACAGTACAAGAGAATGGAATTTAAACCTAATAAACGTGTACTGCGTTCGCTTATGGAAATGGGTTTTAAGGAGAAAGATATTATCGGGGCGTTGAAAATTACCGGAAACAATCAAGCTAATACCGTAAGTTGCAATGGTTGATACGTATTTATTGATAATATTTTATATTTTAACATTTTTTTGCAGTGCGAATGGTTGCTGGGTGAAAGAAGACGCAGTCTGCAAGATTTGGACGAAGGATTAGAGATTGACGGGTCAATTTACAAAGCGATTATGAGTAATCCTCACGTTCAGCTCAGCCTCACAAATCCCAAGATGTTACTTGGTAAGATAATGCTTTGAGAAAATTATGTATATATTTTATGTGCACATTTTCGCAATATTCTGTATGTATTTAAATCTCGTGTTTTCTCTCTTTCAGCATATTTGTCCATGATAGAAAGTCCGGCATCGACGAATGTGTGGATCAACGATCCTGTAGTCTCACCTATACTTAGTCAGATATCTAAGACATATCACGCCGAGAAACACGCCATCCACATGAATCGTTATGCTTAGCGCTACTGTAAAACCTACTCGAGTCTCTGTGGAACATCGATATTTTTGTATAAATTTACAAGTAACTTTCGTAGAGACTCGCGATGCCAATCTGCGATTGGTGATTGTCTGTGACTATCATTCTCTCGACTCGTATATAATTATAGTTATATATTATTTTAATTGTATATAATTGTAATTGTTGCTAGTTGAAGAACCATGTGTAAAAGTTTCCACAAGATGTACATCTTGCATTACGCTATCGTACGCTATGATGATTGCACATATGTTCTCTATACAGAGATTTCTATATAGAATGCTGAAAATTGCTTTTGATGTTGTACAAGTTACCTGTTAAAAATTACTAGTGAAAATGTGCTTTAATATATACAAGAAGCAGCTATTATCCTTTTTTCTTTTTGACATGTAACAAAATCTAATGAGATATAATGAATGTCTGAAATAATGGGCCACTTAAATATATGCTGCAAGATGTATAACATGCTGAAATATATCACAGATCTTGTTACGGTTCTCAGTTGCCTCGTTATATAAACTCTGTTTAAATAAATATACTGATTAAATTGATTACAACAATTTAACTAACTATAGTCTGTGATGTATATGCATTTGTTCGCGTCTGATAATAATTTTGAATTTTTAAATCAATGCGCCTATTCTTGGGCTCGATTCTCTAACTAGTTGCGTACACGTAAGTTTTACCAGAGAGAAGAAGGAGAGAAGTCATGGGCCGGTTTTAGCTGATCCCGATTTTAGCTGAAATGGCTTACAGCGCTTCTAACCAACCGTGCATATAAACTACGTAGCCAATGTGCACGAATTGTCTCAGTGGGTAAAGAAGTAATGTCCACAATTCTTGACGTTAGTTAGACAAAGAGAGATAATTAACACTATCTGTTCTTGTCCACCACAGGTGAGAAATAATCGCAGCGGTAGACACAGAGGCGAGTTAAGCTGGTGGCACATAGAAAAACTTAAGCAGTAAAACGTAAGCAGTAAGCAAATTGACTAATCACAGTCATTGATTCTTCTTATGGTCCAAGAATCAACAACTGTGATTGGTCAATTTGCTTACTGCTTAAGTTTTTTGTGTGCCACGCCCCTTAGCGGCGATCTTATCGTTAAGGAAACATCTCGCTCAGCTATTGACGCATTGCGTTATAGCTCCTGCACACAAGACGCGGTAATGCATGCCGCGCGGCGGAAATTCGCGCGACAACCAATCAATATGCTGCTTTCCATAATAACCTTCTAGCTCTTACGGAAAAATAACATATTGATTGGCTAATAACATATTGTTGTGCGGACTTCTGCCCCGCAGCAAGCATTATCGAGTCCTGTGTGCAGGAGCCATTACTCGTAATTCCGGAAGAATTTTCAGGTTTACGTTTTCCAGCCTTTGTAACTGAGAAATATATTGTATGGAAACACTGAGTTGGATACAAGAGAAGGAAATAATTTTAAATTGAGCATTATATGCAGGCTTTTACATGTCGCTAACATTTATTGCTTATTTCTCGGCAACAACAATAGATCAATGTCATTCAAAAAGCACTAATTTTTTGACAGCTTATTCTATTGGAATTAGAGATTTATAATGATACAATTAATACCGGTGTGTTAAATAAAGTGTGGAACCGCGCGTACGTCTCGACTTTGCGGTCAGCCCAGATAGCACAGAGAATTAAAAAAGAACTCAGTTATACGTCACTAATTCTGAATTCATTTTTAAATGCAAAAAAGTTTTTCAAAGTTCAGTTTAGTAAAAAAAATTCTTTTCGCATGTAAAAATGAACTTAGAATTGGTGACATATTACTGAATTCTTTTTGAATTCTCTATGCTATCCCCAGCAAGAAAGGTTACGTCGATTCGACATCTACTAGACGTCTATATGAAATGTCTATTTCAGATGGATTTTGGCAAGATATATCTTGCGCATGCGTACAGAGCAAACGCTCGAAGTCCTCACTGACGTATATATTTTCGTCGAATCTGAGGTATCGTTAGGGCCTTGCGAGAAAAGAAATGTGAAGAAATTAGCAGGAGGAAGGAAAATTGCTTTGATAGGAATAGAGTGCAAGTAATATGAATAATAATAAGGAAATTAATATATTTGTTATTTACTGTAATACTGGAATACTCTCCTTTTTGGTTTCTTGCTCCTTTTCTCGATGCCACTTGATGTCGGCTGCTGCCGATCATCAATCTTCTTTGTTCTAACAAATTTATTATTTTTTCAGCTATTCACTCAGTACACGTTGACACTTGTTTATAAACACACATGAAAACAATACAAGGGCCCCTTATAGCACCTACTACTGCACTCTAGATACATTTCTGAACGCAGCTGATTTCTAGTTGTGACCTCAGCTTACGCATGCGCACGAAGCTTCCTGGGACGGCGAATATCTTGCCAAAATCCATCATTGGTCTGTCTACCATCTCTACGTCTAATCTAGATCATGGATGTAGGAATATAATGATAGAGCGTAAGCTGAGTTTTTGGGCAAGGGGGTGGAAGACCACGTGCCGCTCGATCGTCAGGTTAAGCAACACAACCAAGATGGATGGTACCGCTTCGGATTCGAAATTATCGAGGCAGGATTCGCGAAAATTTTAGCGTGTGTTTGACAATCTTCGGTTTTTAGCAGTTTATAAGACATGAAGAAAATTAGGAATTAGTTATTTTTATGAAATTACCTAGTGAGAAATGACTTATTGATCGATGTCGAAATGACGGTCTATTAGACATCGATAAGATGTCGAAATGACGGTCTATTAGACATCTAAATGTGGATCGTTTTTAAGTCGATATAGATCTTAATCTAGATCATGGATGTAGGAATATAAGGATGGAGTGTAATCCCGGAGAGACGAAGCCATAGAGAGAGGGAGACGAGGTAAAAACTGTGCCTGGTTTTGATTGGTTTTTACTATGCGAAAAGTTAAGGTGCCAATACATGGTAGCGTTTCATCGTCGAGCGTTAAAGTGTTAGCCAATCAACGTATCAGGTCCTAGAAGTATGCGTGTAGTTCTTGCGGAAAGTGGCACGTTTAATGGCTACCGTTTTAACGCTCGACGTTTGATGCTCCCATGTAAAGGTACCTTAATAGTACCATCCTTCCTTCCTTCCCTCTTGGTTTGGCCCCGGATATAATCCATCGCCACCTGGTGTTTCCAATAGATTTGAGCAGCCATAAGATGGCCGCTTAATTCAAATACTGATATCCGAGTTTTTTAAGAATTTACAAACGATGTCTAAAATAATCGGTGTTTCAATGAATGCGAGTTCGTGTATGTCCTTTGAAAGATTAAATCTATGCAAATCCAATAGCAATGCATCAGCATGCCTTTTAAAGTCAATACAATCAAAAAAAAGATGATTCGCTGATTGAGAATCGTGACCACACGGGCAGGATTTATCTGTAGTCATGCCTTTGTCGTACAAATGTAAGTTGCACCTGGTATGAAATGATCTAAGTCTATTAATTATAACAATGTATTTTCTAGGAATATGCTTAAATTGCTTGAACCATGGATTTGACAACTCTTTGTTTCTGGTTCTATTAAAATATCTGTAGCCTTTATATGAAGCAGTTTGTTCCAATATAGAGTATGAAATCTGTTTATAGTATTTCAAAGTTGCTGAACAGAAGTTAGAATAAAAATAGCGGTTTTCATGATGGGCAACAAGATTTGTATGATCTGATGTGCTACCTGCGATGCGAGAAAATCTACTAGATCATTGCCATAAAGATTAATGTGCCCAGGGGCTCAGGCAATCATTATATTACTACCAAGTTATTGGCCGAGAGCAAGAGTTTCTTGATCACATATATATAGTGTGGTTTAGATCCTTGGTAATCCACCGAGCTAATAGCTGTTACCACGCTTTTAGCGTCGGTAACGATTAAATAATTAGTCCCAATTTGTGATTTTATATACGAAATGGCTTTGATAATAGCTAAGGCTTCGATTTCAAAAATAGAAAAATAACTATTTATAGAGCCCATAATGTATTTTTTGTTCCATTCGAAGTAACAGGCGTACCCTCCAAGACCATCAACCATCTTCGAGCCGTCGGTGAAAATAACGTGATAGTTAGAATATAACTTCAGACTATTCTTAAATATAACATCCGCCTTACTCATTGTGCGGCACGATTCCGAAATGAGATTTGATAGATTATCAACAACGAGTAAAGATGCATTAAAATTTCTATCGATTTGAGTAAGCCCTTTCAAGTTAAGAAATTGGGCTCCAAAGTTTACATCAGTATGGACTACGCAAAGCCTAGTTGGAAGATCAAAGTTCAAAGCACCAGAGAACGGAAAGGTGAACAATTGAGGAGAATGCGATGCAACAATTCCCTTAACCATGAAGAGGAACTTAGAGTTAATATCTGCGAGGTTGATTGTATTAGAACACAGCCATGACGTCCACAAGGGAAGAAGGGGGTGCGTATCGATTGTGAGTACTTTCGCAATCATTTTTGACATCATAAACGAAGCTCGAGTACGTAGATCTAGTTCTCCATTGATATGAAGAATCACATTGGTGGGAGTAGTAGACATCAATCCACTAACCACTCTAAGCGCCGCAAATTGTAACCTATCTAAGATAGAGAAACTGGAGTGATTAACTTCTAATAGAAAAGGGAGTGAATAGTCTATAAGGGAGCGAATTAATGATTTATATACCGTGAGAAGCAATGAGGGATGTGCTCCCTATGTAATACCAGCAATTGCCTTAAGCACGTCTATCCTCTTTTTAATGCCCGTGGCAAGGCATCTTATATGAGTCGACATTTTTAAATTACTATCTAACCATATGCCAAGAAATTTGACAGATTGGACTATAGGAATGTTATTATTTCCAACCTTTATGTGCAACTTATTATTAACAACAATCCAATTGACTACTGTAGGATTCGTGTGAGAAAAAATACAGATGGATAATTTTTCAGGAGCAATCTGTAATTTCAAAAGGCAGAGAACTTTATTGATTTTTTCAAGAGCGCGCTGAAGAAGAAAAAAGGCTTGAGGAAGATACATTTGCCGAACAAAAATAACCAAATCATCAGCGTACATTAAGGCATCAACTTCCGAGGGCAAAGAATCCAAGATCAAAGAGGAGTATAAACCGAACAGAAGAGGACTCAGAACCGAACCCTGAGGAACGCCGTTACTAACCGTTCTCCTCCCCAATGATTGACGATTATAAAAAGCTTCTACTCTTCTATCAATCAGCATGTGTTGCAGGAAAATTAAAATTTTTGGAGGAACACCCAAATAAAATAGAACCGAAATTAGGATAAATGGGTTAACATTATCGAAAGCTCCTTTAATATCCACAAACAGAGCAAGTAAAAATTCACCTTTAACGAATGCAATTTTAATGTTACTATAAAGGTATAAGAGGTTATCAGAACATGATTTACCCTTTCGAAACCCGAACTGTTTTGGTGCTAAAAAAGTATGGTTCTCCGCCCACCAATATAAATGACTTTGAATAATTTTTTCAAAAATTTTTGCAATATTGGAAATCAAAGATATAGGACGAAATTTTAGAGAATTAGG